GGTACTCGAGTATAAGATGTAGCAGAGTTAGAAAAAATTCTCAAGCGACCAATTACATTACTAGATATTACATATGGTACTATTTTTAATAGCAAAAAATATCGATCAGGTAAGTATGAAGAAATAGAAATGGTAGTTCATAATGAGTATGCATTCCCTCGAAATCATCATTTTCCAAAGGATTAAATAGTTGAATATTATAAAGACGATACTTGGGAAGCTATCAATAATGCCCTTCAAGGTCCTCAAGCAATCTGGCTTATGGGAGTAGGAGATGAAAACCAAAGAGTTTCTCAATTTGTTTTAGAAGACAGCTGTGCATTTAGGATATGGATAAAGCATACAGATATTATAAAAGCATGTAAGAAATTATTTAAAGATGCGGTAAACTGGCAATTTTATGAAAATATAATTAATGAAGAAAAAAAATCGATTCTTTTAAAGTCTCTCAAAGTAGTTGACTTAGCAGAGCAAATATTTGGTGCAAACCATGCTAGAAGTCGACTTGCCAATGAAATCAATGAATGGCGTCCAATATCTGGAAAAATAAATAATGTTATAAGACAAGCTTGTGTTGAGTATGGGCATGGTAGACGCTGGAATGCACCCAGTTATCACATTAATAATGTCGTATGTATTGATATGAAAGAATGCTATCCAGCAAGTATACAAGGCCAAGGAGAATGTGCACCATAGTTTAATCGATTTGGGCACCCAACACATTATCTTGTCCAAGTAGCAGTAAATGGAAAGTTACTAAAAGATGATACCACTAGATTTGCACAGATAAAATCTTTCAAATTTGCTTCTAATATATATCCAGTAATTCCAGTCTGGTATGAAAAACATTTTGCATGGTGAAGCGGAGATAGATGTGTAAAAAGTAAAGAATGGGCATCTATTGTATTTCTACGATATCTTCTTGAGACTGGTATTCTAGAAAGTGTAACTATTGAGGAAGCAATTATTTCTTTTACCAAACAAACAAAAGTATGGTTACTAAAAAATCGAAATATTAGTTGTGTAATTATAGGTAAGTTTATACAAAGTGGCAAGATTGATGAAAAACAACTTACTCATTGACTTGTAACAGATAAAGGTGAGCTCGATTTCTTAGTCAAAGATTGTACTGATGCTAGAACTTTTGTCGAAAGAGAAAAATGTCCACTCGGTTTTATACTTACATACTATGAGAGTCATCAACCTCAATATACTCATTTACGGGCTTCAATGTTAGCATATACACATATTAATTTGTTAGAAATGCTTCGGAGATTCGATCCTAATGAAGTAGTAAGAATTGCTACAGATTCTATATATGTACGAAAAGATGCTTTATATAAGATCGAAAATATACTGGTATTCTTCAAGCAAGTTGAGGTAAAGTCAGATCCAAATTTATATTTATACTATCCTTCTTATGCAATGTGTAGCGATCCAGAAAAATTCTTTATTTCAAAATTAGAATATGCAAAATGGATTAAAGAGTTTCTAAAAACTAAAACGCTTCTAGCAAAATATAATTGCAAAAGGCATAAACTATTTATTTGCAGATTTTGCTTTGGAGAATAGTTTTATAGCAGAGCTAGTGCTAAAATATATAGATCAGACTCCTATACTCTTTTACATCAACCAGAAGAACAAGAAATCCGAGAAATTCAACTCGGTCAATAGTGTGATAAGAGCGAAAAAATATATAGTCCAAATTCAAATATTGTATACTGGCCAAAGAATAGGCATTAGGAATCGATCAAATATATTCCAGATAGTATTGCACTAACAATTCATGATCCTATTACAAGATGTCGAAATTCATATCTTAATAGAGAAGGAGGATTCAGTAAAACAACATAAGCAATTAGAATATTTAAAAATATAAGTATGATTGTCTTTATTTATACAAATGCATTAGCTAAAGATTTTTGAGAAAAACGTAATGTGAAAACCCAAATCTGGCATAGCTTCTTTTGATAAAATAGTATAGGAGAGTGGACACCTGAACACATGGGAGAGAAGAAATTTCTACGAGTTGTTATTTGAGATAAGGTATATATAGTTCCTAAGCATATTCTTGAAATGTTCATTAATTATTTGTTAGAACATAAATGTCAGGTAATTTGTTGTGGTGATGATACGCAACCTCCACTATTCTTCAGAGAAATGCTACATAATTGGTTAAGAGAGTATGCTGATTATTATGAAGAAGTCTTAACTGATTATCAGGCCAAATGTTCTAAATTACATGAACTCAAAAAAGGAATGCGTCGTAAAATTAATCGGGTGCAATCAGAATTATTTCGTGGAGCAATTCCAGTTATAGAAAAATAGAAATATCTTGAAAAGAAATGGTCTTCCTCAGATCGAATTTTATCAGCATATCGACTTTCTCGAAGACTTGCATCACAAATATGTCTCAAGCTTCATTGTACAAAATATTCTGAAATTTTAATTCCATTAATTTATAGGCCAAAAGATAGGTGTAAACAAAACTGCCTTGTTCCAATCCCTGGCTCATCTGAGAAAAGGGAGCTAGTAAAAAATGATATAATACACTTACCTTTAAATACACTTTCTGATAAATTCTTACAAGGCATGTTAGGAAAAGAAAAGGCTATAGATTGGAAACTTGGATATGCAATGACCATTCATACCAGTTAGGGAATGACTCTCAAAGCTCTACAATGAGTTTGGGTTATTGATGAATATTTGGTGTGGGATAATCTAATTTATCTTGCAGTTGGTTGTGTAGAATATTTGGGCCAACTTATTCGAATTGAAGGTTCCCCATTACCTCCTGAGATTAAAGATGCAAAAAATAAGAAAGCAATTGAGCGATCCTTAAGACTATTTATTTCTAGAAAACTCGTAGGATATATGGATCAAGATAAGAAAAAAGGTTGTGAATTTAACTTATCTGTTGATTATATCCTTATATTAAAAGATTCGCAGTAAAATAAATGTAAATTATATCTTAATAAATTGTTATGGGATTGGGACAAAGCTGGAAATCCAGACCAATAGACAGTAGATAGAATTAATAATGAATTAGGATATATTAAAGGAAATGTACAGCTTACTTGTTTAGAATGCAATCAGAATCATCGAGTCTAGCCTACTCAATGTGCTAAATGAAAATATTAACATTTCCTATAATAAATTTTTTTCTTAATAAGAATAAATATCCAATTCAAAATTCTAGAGGAATAAATATCTCACTAAATTGTTCTACTTAATGTATAAATCTATTTTTTATAATTGATAATAAATAAATATAACAATTAAATAAAAAGTTTTAGTTAATAAAATGCATACATTTGATATATACAATATAACATGCATATATTCAACCCACTTACACTTCTGGATACTATCGCTAAAATCATCTAAAAAATGCCAGTAGAAGATCTAAATAACTGTATTCATATTAATTACACATGGTATAAAGAAATTTGTTATGAACTTTATAAGAGACATAAAAGCTTTAATATAAAATATCATGATTTATTAGAGAAACTAGATAAATGCTATAGAGAATCAGATATAAATGATAATAAAACTGAGGCTATATATAATAATATATTAATAATATTTGATGAGCTTGTAAAGGTAGAAATGTGTATGCTAAATAAAAATATAGTTTTTAGTAAAAGAATTATAAATGTGATATTGTCTAATATTGAAGACTATAATTATGGAAACCCTCTAGATTCATATAATTTTGGGGAAGATACATTCGAATATATAAAATACCTTGAAATAATGTAGGGTTTAATTCGCATATTAATTATCCTTAAGCTAAATTTTTTATCTATAATTGCTAGCGAAGATCGAGCAATCCTGGCTCATACTAAATAATTCGTAAATGAACAGATCACCAAATCCGAAATTAGTTTTATAGTATCTGCAAATTAAATTTTTTTGAAATTATGAAAATAACTGCACTAATCTTTTGTGTTACTTCCGAGATGAACAGTTCTGATATGATACTTGATATAGAGAAAATAGGTTGGTAATTGCTTCTAAAATAGAACCGAATATGTCTTTTCATAAAGTATTTAATGATAAATCTAAGCATGTTCACAAATCTTGAGATCCCACTCTGAAAAATGGAAAATATTATAAACTTAGTAATTAATGCTCTATCAAAATTGTTGTTAGCAAAAGTTTCTTCTTCTCAAATAACAATAGAAGATGCTATTGGAAATGTATCCAAGGTCTCTTTATTCCGCTAGTCTGTTAATAAAAACTTGGATGAGATTATGCAACAGACTGTCCAAGATTCAGACCTAATAATGCATCTATTAAAGCCTCATCCTAGTTTATATCATTCGTATGAAAACTCTAAAAGGGTTGGATACAAAAATTATACCAATATCTCTAAATCGAAAAAGAGAAAATGAGATGTTAGTCCTTATAATATAAAGAAAAATTCAAGAAAGCATATAAAGAAAAATTCAAGAAAGCGTATAAAAAAACACTCCTCAAATTCTAATAATATAATGAGTAGCCTAGATTCTCAATATGTCAAGCAAAGTATATACAATATAAGCATCCTTTAGGCTTAAATCAAAAAATGTCGTATATATCACTGGTATCTGATACCAAAACACAATTATGTCTAACTTGTAGATTCGAATCTATTTTTTTTACGAATGAATATCGTTTTTTTTGATGTATTAGCCATATTAGATCTAGCAATATGTAATGTATTAGTTACCATAATAAAGGAAACTAATTCATTTTATTTTTTATCTATACCTGGTTAATTATATACTAATTAGATTAGAACAAGAAATTTTCAATATAATGTAGGTGCTGAGACTTTGACTTTTCAGAAATAATTTATAAATGGACTGATCGACAAATCCAAAATTGGTTTTGTTAGTATGAAATAAATATTATATAAAAATAAGCTAAGTATAAGGAAATTTTGTTTGTAAAGCTTATTCGGGTCTACTTGATCTAATGTCTCTCTCTGACCTTTGAACCTTTGCATATAGCATTTTAAAAAATCTTAATGATGAAATCGTCAGAGATAAAGAATTTATAGAACTTGACACATGCTCAGAATATGATAAAAAAATTATTATGCACAACTACGAACTATTAACAATCCTCTCATGTGCTCATGTATATCACAGATATTGTATTGAGAAAAAACTTTCACGTATATATCCAAATATATGCCCTATGTCTGATTGTAATAAACCTGTCAAGCCTGTTATTTCTGTTGATATATCTCGAGAAGATTCATCTAATCCTGCTCCATCCAAAAAACATGCTAGTGAACCTACCTCAGCAAACAAATCAACTGGTAAAAAAGCAAAAAAAGAATCACATGTATTAAATGAGCTTATAAAAGAATTATCTACTGAACCTGAAACTCCGCAAGCCCCTATAGTTAGAAAAGAAAATGCTGTTAATTTTGACGATTTATATAATAATATAACCAATGCAGAAACTCAAAATGAAATTATGAATCAAGATCTTATAACCTGTTATTATCTCTTTGGTAAAGCTCTATCGGAACAGCTTGAGCATCACAAGAAATCTAATCCTCCATATGCTTCTTTGCTGTTAGTTAATGAAGAAGTTAAAGAACAAATTCCCAATATTACGGATACTACATTGTGGAAAAAAGTAGAAAGATCACGAAAGATTTATAAGCTCTTTCTTAATATCGGAGAGGATAAGATTCAAAGAGTTAGATCTTTCAGTGCGTTGACCATTTCAAAATTAAGAAAGGAGGATATTGATAGTATTATACTTACCATTTTGAAACCAAAAAACCAATCTACTGCGCCAGTCACGTGAGATCACATGTCCTGACCCAGCGGTCAGGATTGATATCGGTAGTAATAGTATCGGTATTAATACTTCATATACTTATATAAAATTAATAAAGTTTTTATCTATCGCCATTATTCGATTTTTTTAAATGTGTTCATGAAATAAATTATCGTTATCTTTATGGGGATTATAATTTGTTTGTAAGACGGAGCAGGTTTGTATAATAAAAAATTAGCCACGTTATATTTTTTCAGAATAGCATACCTGCATATACAAATAAAAAAAGTCGAAATTACTTTGAAAAGTGGCATATCTTTAGAGGATGGAAGCGTGGGTGTAAAGTTTGTGACGAATGCAATCACCATTCTCACCTATATTGCAAAACATGCAAAAAAGTAGCGAATGGAATATATAAGCGGTGTGAATGTAATAACGATAATTCTCGAATAATTACCGTTTAGTAAAAATAAATCAGAATCGATACATAATTTTTCATAATTCGCCACGTAACAAAGATGTGTTAGAATAATTCCGCATACGTATAAAATTTATCCGCAAGGCTTATTGTTATGCATAATTTAAGACGGGTACAAGTAGAAATTGCTATTTTTCATTTTTCGACCGGGGCGCCCCGGCTGAAATTAGTACCTAACCAAAGTCGATTAACTCATGCCACATATCGATATAAATATTTCAGTTAATTAACACATTATACGTAAAGATCTGTCTGATGAAAGCATTCAGCAATAACATACATGATCGTGATTTGCGTATTTTTCAGGATTTTGCTCGAAAATTTTAGCTATTCCACGCATTGTCCAATGTATTCTCTCCAAAGTCTATGTGTTTAATGTTGTAATGAAATTGCCCTTTTTTAAAAAGTGATCACGGGTATGGTATCAGAAAGCAGGCCGTAAGTGCTGTTTCTTCCGAAATAATAGTCTTAGAAAAATTTGAGTCGATACTGTATCACATTACCACGCGAATGACATATAAAAATATATATAATTTTTTGTATAACTACAACGAAATTTCCAAATGCAGGGTCGACTTCGAGAATTTCGACTAAAATATAGTTATGTCGGGATTGTTATTACGGAACAATGATACGTATTATTACTGTATTCAAAATCACATGTATGATCAGAGATTATGATTAAAAAAATGCACGCATGATCCGTTGTACGACAATCTGATTGTTTGTATAAGCTATAAAAAGGTAGAATGTACGACTATTTCTTACTAAAAAAAATTTTTCGTCCTATCCAACTAAATACGTAAATAACCATGTCTACTGCCGGAGAAAAAGTTCCTCTTCCTACAATCAATGAAGTTGAAGGATGTAATACAACGGAGGATCTGATAAATCTTTTACGCAAGCAAGACTTAGGACTGGATGATGACGATTTTAAAATTATTTATAAACGAAAAATTAAGGGTCGGAATTTCCTTAGGTTAAATGTGGATAAACTAATGCAAGATGGTTTAGAACGAGGTCCAGCTGAAACAATTGCAGAACTTATTGAAAAAATTAAGGGCGAAGGGCAGGGTAAGTAGTACCACGACAAGACACAAAGTGTCGAGTCTCTGACTCATATTCCAAACCTATACTGCTTTCTCCGCAATAATTTCATTTATTAACT